CCATCTGTGTGCTGAGCAAGAAGCTTCTCGCCATCCGCAGTGCCATCACTCTTAGGCAACAACACAGGAACAGGAGGAGTAGTTGCAGGGACATCAATGGTTCCCTGTTGTTGAGGACGGTTGAGTCCTTTTTGTTCGTCCCTTTCACTCACTTCGCTCTCCAGAATCTCCTCTTTTTGTTTCTCATGATCCTCGTTCGTATCTCTCTGCTTCTCACTCTCTCGCCGTTGCTTCTCCTTCATTTCATTCTGTTTTTGCTCATCGGCTTCGAGCTGCTTCCTGGCTTGCTGCAACGCCACTTCAGCGGTTGATTTCGCATCTTTAGCAAGCCTTACAGCACTCTCCATATACTTCATTGCAGTCGGCAAGAGGCCAGCAAGTTCTTCATATTTGGTCTTAGAGGGCACTATTGCCTCGTTGGTTCGTTTCAGTCCTCTTAAGAGAGCCTCAAACCCATCAAGCGTCACTTGTTTGTGTTCATTGCATTCACCTTTAGCTGTCACTGTCCCCGATTTAACTTTCTTGGCACACTCATCCACTTTCGTTGCCGCACTATATATGGCCTTCGTTCCAGTAAGAACATCCTTTACCGCTTGGTTTGCATCGTTTAGCTTCTTGATGTAGTTATCCACAGCAGCACTTGCTTTGTTAGCCTCTTGTTCGGCTTTCCCAACCGCAGCGAGAACATGCTCCGCTCCTGTTGGTATACTCCCCGCCCCTTGCTTAGCTTTCTCCATGGCTTCCTTCACTTTCTGCTCCTCTGTCTTCACTTCTTTCAGCAGAGACTCAGCGTCTGTCACTGCCTTTGTGGCATTCGTCACTGCCTTCGTAGCCTCTGAGACCGCTTCTTTAGCTTTATTCTGTACCTCATCGTCAGGCACTCGAAGAGACTCCAACAAAGTTAGAGCAGCAAGCGTTTTCTGCGAAGCCACGTACCCAAGCCCCACCGCCCTCTTGGCGCCTTTCTCCAGAATACCCATTTCGTCCTCTGCTGTCGTCCTGGTCGCCTCCTGCACCTTCACCGCTTTACTCAGAGCATCTTTAAAAGCAATTGCTGCTTCCTCCGCTTTCCTTGCTGCCTCAAAGGTCTCCGTCTTTGCAGTGACGACCGTCTGCTTCATCGACAAATCAGGCGCACCAGTAGCACCGCCTGTGGAAGGCGCAGCGGAAGTACCAGGAGCAGCAGCAGCCACGCACAAGGCCGTGCAGCACAGAGCGGCGGCCAACACACACACAACGCGGCGCACTGTCACCATCATTCAATATCGCTTGAGCAGCTGAGGGCTGCAGGAAGGAGAAAAGAGAATAGATGCACAGCAGGCAGCCCCAACACACACACACACACACACGGAGCGGAAGGGAGCAGCAGGCACAACACAGGCGGCATCAACTATGATGAAAAGAAACCCATTAGAGAAAAGAGAACTGGACGGCGGAAGAGGCGCACACACTCCGCTGGAGTTCAAACCCACAAGGCCCCAAACAAAGAGGGAACAACGAGGCAGCAGCAGCGCACGTGGACGCAATTGAACCGCTGGCGCTCACGTCCCTTTATGTGTGCCCCGGTGTGAGTGGCGCAGACACGGCGGGAGAGATGCAGCGAACACACACACATACAAAGAGAGAGAATCCCCCAGCAGGAGAAACAGTTAGCGGGCGGCGCACAGCAGTGCGCAAAGCAAAGCCCAAGCAAGAAACGAAAAGAAATTAACGCCTCCCCTTCCCACAATGCGTGTCGTCGAGGGCAAGTCGGTCGGCGTTACGCCCACAACGGGGCAGCAATAAAAAGAAAAGATAAGGGCTCCATCATCTAAAAGGGTTGATCTGCAGCCGCGCAGACACACGCAGGAGACATTTAGAAGAACTATTCAAAGAAGGCCCTCTCATGTGGGCGGCGCACA